GGTCGGCGCAGCTTGAGCGGAACTGAATTCAACATGAGTCTGCCACAGCAGTGGAAGCCGGATCAACATTCACCGACATCAGATTTTTCAGCGAATAGATTAGACCCCCGAAGTCATCGTGTACCTCAGTAGAACAAATCGGACCGTCAAGTTGTCCAAAAATACTTGCAAACATCTCCAAGGATCGAACCGGTTAGTCCGCCAATCGCTGGTGGTTCTACAACTCAGGCAACGGAGCTTATGAAGGCAGCCGGCTGAAAGCACACGAGAAAGAAGGGTCCTCAGCGGTCGACAAAACAAGACTTCACAGAAGCGGTTTTGGTGGGAAGAACCCAAAACCAACCAGTCAGCTAGCGCAAGTGCCATATCGAAAACGAAAGCAGAAGGGGAGCATCAGAGGTGGCAGAAAAACTTACCGCTTTTGGAGAAACTTCTGATCCAGCTCAACCAGTTCGCCCTTGGGCATCAGGAAGACGTACATGTTTGGATTCGTGGACGGCATTAACTAGGAGGAAAAAACAGCAGAAGAGCACTTTTTAAACTGGTTTATTTGTTAAATTACCTGGGCACGCTGATGTTAAGTACTTTACTCAAAACTGTATCGGTTGCTGCTAGTACGAATTTAGTCGGTCTCATAGTGCACAGTTGTGAAACGCTGTGAAGATTAGAGCAATGTGCATGAAATCATTAACTCAGACAACCAACTAGAGTTCTCAACCGCGGTGGACGATAAACTTGCGCGAACGCTAGTTTTAACTTACCATGAATAAGGTGAGTATATCGCTAGCGGTAATGGCATTTTACACGGCTGAAACCTCCCGTTAGTCTTTTATAATACTGCTATGTGCAAGCACCCGAGCAGGACAGGAACTTCTCTTACAGGGCTTCGATTATGGCGACGTCACCTAATAAGTAAAGTAGCCTCCAGCAAAGGTATCGTGAAATGGAATTCTGTGAGGATTACCACTACAGTCAACGGATCAAAAGACAAAAAGTGTAGTTCAATTGTCCTAGATGGTAATAGTCTGGCCAGTCGAATGTTCTATCTAGGTGCACACTTCGCACGAAATAAGCAGCAAAACTACCAGGTTTTACGGTCTAAAGAAAAAGCAGTGATAAACTAGAACGGATGAAAATTCCAAGACGCAAAAAGCTTAGGTTTGATAAGATAAATGCAATTGGCTAAAGGCGGACAAAAGCGTTCAGAGAACACGGTTTTAAAACGACCAAACAACAAACAACTAGCAACAAATGCCCTGCGGACAAGTTGTTGAGTGAGGGAGAAACTTTCAAGCAAACAGCCTCAGAGACAGTTAGGAGCACACAAGTAGTCAAGATTCTCGAGAAACAGCACAAAACATCAGATTTATGCATAATAACACGGCGTCCGCAAAAGTTAACGCTTTTCGCAAACCCGGCTCAGTGGTGAAAACGAATTGTACATGTGCTGAATTATGTAATCGAGAACTGATTTCTGGAATGGGATATTGAAGTAAAAGAAAGTTCTCCGACTCTGGTAACCAAAGCCTGAGAGAAGGCGGGCCTTGTCAACACGAAGTAGATGTCTGCCTTGTGCCTGTATTTCCGGGGATGTCAGGCATCAAATTCCACTGCACCTTCTGCAATGATCCCATACTATCTCAACGGACGAGATATAGTAAATGCGTAAAAGCCAGTCAACAACACGCTAGGTTAGACATGACTTAAAGGTAGAACCTCTCTTTTTTCTTTATAAGCCAAACTAGTGCAGAAAACACACCTCTACTCACAGCTGCGTGAACAGCTCGGGTGTCGCGGAAGGCTTTGGAGCTGGGCCAGACGAATCTTCGGGCAGCCACCTTATTGACTGCTTTTGGTTTGGCTCTCAATATGACATTAGTGAAAGGATTTTGAGCTGCTGTGACTAAAACCAACTG